TGGAACTCTCTTGCTTCCCTGACGATCGAAGCGTTTTCAGGAAGTTCTGTTCGTCTGAGCACTTTTCTCTCAAGCTTTCACTGCCTGACCTGAAGCCGAGATTTTGCACCGCTGGCCAGCCTGGCCATGGGAGGTTGCCAGCGGTGCTACAGATTGATCCAAGAACAACTTCGTTAAGTAATAGAGGTTGTGCTGTTTGGGGCACTCTGGCGACCTTAAACGTTCAACAAACTGGGCAACTGGATCAGCCTATGTTCTTCTTTTGGGATACCAAGTACTGAACCCGTCGACATGCGAGTAACGCATGGTGTGTGAGTGCAAGTCGTTTCTTAGAGTCATTGTGCCACACAAGGGTGAGTCGACTCACTTCGAACCTGCTGCTGAGAGGAGCTCTGCTGCGGAGCGTCTCGGGATTATCTCAAAGCAGCCACTCGGATGCTCGAGTGGCGGAAAGAGGGGAGATGAAGCAACGGTAGAAGGATTAAGATGGCTGCTTTATTGCGGAGGAGGTTGGCGGAAAGTGGTAAGACATGGGGAGACCATGGGAGACCTTTATCAAGCCCTTTGAACGCCAATATCACGTAGAACATCATAGAACACTCAACGCTCGGTGGCTTTTTGGAAGACCAAACGGAAGGCCAGCCAGCCGTTCAACAAGAAACAGACAACAAGTCTCCACGTTCATGACGTCAAAATGAAACCATATGAAACCCCTTCTCACCGGCCGAACGAGGCCATCCCACGGGCATCAGCATCCTCGCGCTCCAGGAGGCCCTTGTTGGTTCTCAACGCAGTGGTGCCCCAACTGAGTCTAAGTCCGACTTTTGACATCTTTTGACATATAAAAACACACCATTTGGATCCATTTGGATCGTAAGACTTCTTCAGGCTTGGGGGGTTGAATTGAAATCAAGGGTCTATATGAGTTTCCTTCACCCGCACACCAGGAACTACCAGCGCCGGTGTTTTGTCGCTTCGGTGTCCGATAATGCCGATGTGTTGCCCTAGCTTCCGCGCGTTCGCAAAGAGAACGACGCTGGTTTTTTCCCATGTGCGCCCCCCTTCGGGTGGGGGGAGTCGGGATCCAAAGAGGTTTGTTTGAAAGATGTGGCAAATCCCATCGCATGTTGCGCTTGTAGGTCTGGAGTTCCCGTCGGTGGACGGTTTGGGGGTCCGTTTGAACATGTGAACCTTCGAGAGCGTGCCAATGCCACGTCGGAAGACTAGATGGGAAGGTGGTGTTCGATGGCCTAGAGCATGCAGCACCTTCCTTCACAAATGGGTCAGACGGGGAAGCAAACACTTTGGGACATGTCAGGATGACTCCCACAAAGAACCGTCCGCCCTTGGCACCGCCCAATCTCCGACTTGCCGGTGCCTTTTTGAGTGTTGGCTGGGGCCGCATGACCCATCTGACCTGCCTCAACAAAGGAAGAAGAACGCAGGGACACGTTCCGTTCCGCCATGGAACGTTGGGGAAAGTGCTCCGAGTCTTGCCACTGGGTTGATGAAAACCCGAGGGCCCTTTGAAGCTGAAGACCTTTCGTGACGTTAGAACTTCCACACTGTTCAGCAGTTGCATGTTTGTTCCACCTGCGCAGTTACTGTACGAACGATTTTTCGATGTCTACCTGCGCAACCAGAGTTTGCAGCTTCAGTTCCCTGCCCCATGTTTCAGTTCCTTGCGCAGGAGCCAGAAAGAAGCACAAAGCTTTCCATGTGAAACGATGTTGAGCTGAATTGGTTTTGGTGAGTGATAAGAGAACGGAACGAGCCGCTTTGTTGACAAAACGTTGGCCAAGACGATTGGTTGCCATGCCTGAACAAATCATGTTTCGTTTGCAATTGCTTGTGTCCTGGCATGATCATTCAATGACCGCTGGGGCTTAGAAGTGACGCGACTCTAACGTTCAGTGTTCTACTCCATGGATATTGATGGAAATTGTAACTTTTTGATCTTCGCCAGCTATGTCCTCACCAAAGGTGAGGTTGGAATGACAGCGGGGATTCATACGGATTTGTGGCACCAAAAGCACTTCTGATTCATTCGAATACCCGACAAATGCCATGGCTTTTTCAGATTGTTCAGTTCTCGGCTAGATTGTACGACCATCCGAGTGACTGTGCCATTCCACATCCGCTGACGGTTCCCCGACCCACGAATGCTGGGTCGAGGGTTTTGTCGAAAGCCGCCAGGGGTCAAGCTCCGGGCGGTGTAAATGAACTTGGAGTTGGAATCGTAGATCCATTTGGAGGGGTTTGGAGAATCCATGCTTTTTGGATGCTTTCTATATAAATGCTTTTCTCGAATCCAGGCTCCCTGTGCGTAGGACTCAGGCAATAATGGGTGCTGGTCGATGACAGGAACAAAAGACCTGAGAAATCCTGAGAAACTGTCAGGGAGTTTGATCGGACAAGCGGGGTATTGGCGGTTTCAGGTGCTCTTGTTCACCGAAGGATTTGAGAGATCCCCCACAGAAAGGTTGGTCTTATAGGCATACATAGCATGCATGGAGTGTTTGGGTTTTCTGAAGACAATCAGGAGGTCCGGGATGTGGTCCACCCCCTTGAGGCAGGTCCAAGATGTCAAGGGATGTCAGCACAAGGTCGAATCCAGAGGTGAATCCATGGGAATCCTGTGGCATGTCTTGATAGAAGTTGGCTTCATATGTGGTACTGAATATTTGCAGAAATGTTTATCCTGTTGATTCCTTTTGCATCCTTTTTGCCCTTTTTCTGCTCCAGCCTTTAACGGGCCACGTAGCCTGTTTTTCATGCACAGCCAAGCTGTGCTGATTGCAGGTGCGCACTGGTTGAGGTATGTTTGGGACATACAGGAGTCGACGGCAAACACAAAAAAGCAAGAAAGGTGTGTCACTGTTTTGCACGACAAAAAAGCAAACACAAAGCCAACGATGCCAACGATGCAAATGGCGATGGAACGCCACGGGTTTACGTTTGCTCGATTGGGTCACATGCATTTGTCAAAGGGACCAAGGTGTGAACGGCAGGTGTCGGCTGTGATCGGAGAAAGCTGGCAGCTAGCTTGCATGTTAATGATATATTGCAATATATTGCGTATTGAATGTGCTCTTATTTGGCAAGGGCAATGACAACATGGCCGAATGATTGGAGTGATTTCCCTGCAAGGTGGAGAATGACCATTCCGCAAAACAGAGCAGGATGGGCCATCGCAGCTTGGTTTCAAATCAGTGAGTTCGATCATGTCATAAACACCCAAGGACTCCATATGTTAGAGTTATGGCACAAGTGTTCCAGTACTGCTGCAAACTTTGCATCCAGAGCAACAAAGATAGGTTGGGGCAGTAACCTCACGTTGCGATTGGAACCTGCCAAATGTATCGCAACGTGACTGGACAGACTGTGGGGTGGGACCGCTCATCCTCCCTCCGTCCCGGCGGGACGACGGAGGAGGAGTTCGGGCGAACTCACAGAGGCTGAACGGAGCCTTCCCTGAGGAAGGTGCCAGGAAGGAGCCAGGAAGCATGAAAAAGCTTGGGGAAGGCCAAATGCACGTGCTTTAAGACCTACCTAACCCAACCTTACCTAACCCTTCGACCACCCTCCCCTCAAATCTCAAAATGCGTTGGTGAGTTGGTGCGGATCGAGTAAAGGAGGTCCCTGGTTCGGGCAAGGAAGATGACCCCCATGCAAAGAAAGACAAGCAAGAAATAGTAAGAATCCCTTTCGCACCAGAATATTATGATAGAATATGGTTGTCGCATGTTTTCGCTCAAAAAGACACACTTGACTCGACCCTCCGAAAATTCACTAAAATAAACCATTTGGGTGACCATGGCTTTGAGCCAATGGCCATTGAGCCCATCCATATGCATCACGTCGTTTGCAAAGAAATTTCGGCCTTTCGGCGCGTCCGAGGCAACGCCCCATGCCTTGTCCGTGAGCTGGGCTCTGAGAACATCGATGTGCAGCTCAAGCGGTGTTCTTCCGTCCACCCCATCCATCACGTATATCCTCGTATTGGTTAATGGTCCGTTGATCCCAAAAAACACCTAACATATCATAAAATATCTAAAATCACCTGTCGACTGGACATGCTCAAGCCATCTTAAACCCACCCATGCATCCACACCCTAAAACATGGACACCCTCTCTCAGCTTTGCTCCACTAGGCCGAGACGAACGGCGGCGCGCCCTCAGCGAGGTTCGGCGCGGACAGACGACCGCGCGGCTGTCGGGTGGGGTGAGGCATGGCTCCTTAGAACTTGGTGGTCTTTTCTCCATGCAACATGATCAGAGGCACAAAGACTATAGATGACGTTAGTTAATATTACACAGTCACAATATTACTATAGTCATCATGGAAGCCAAATACATGTCATACGTCATACAACCACGAACCTTCTCAGATGGTCATTGGACCCTCCCAACCTACAGACTTGCACTAAGCTTGCGTTTGCAAGACGTATGTACACCATATGACACCAAAATGTCCCGGGTGGAATATTTTGCCTCAACATTGGTGAATGTGGAACTAAAAACACGGCATTGTGTCTCCAATCACCGTAGATCCACAGGGTAGATCTATATAATTAATATAATCTATACTATTCTTCCCAAGCCTCAAGTCCTTCAATTCGGGGGAGGCTCACGACACCACAACCCACGACGAATGCGACGACCTTTGCATGCAGGTCTCAAGGCGCAAGAATCCCATCCCAGGCGGGGGAACTGATCTCACAACGTATGAAACACCGATCAGTTGCTTCAAACGCGCGACGCGGCCGGTCGTCAGTCTCCAGGTAAAACGCAATTCGGCCTGTTTTTTCAGCAGTGGATCGATCAGTTGCTGATAAGAAATCATTTGAAAGGATAGAAACATATATACGTAGAAAATGATAATTACAGACACCAACTGTGAGGAGACCTGTGAGATTCCTCATGTACCCTGAGAGCTTGCTTGAGCAAAAAACAGAAGGTCGTTTCGCTATGTGTGCATCACGTGTGCAGTGCTGGTGATGCACCCAGGCTACACAGGCCATTTGGATGGTCACAAGGTGGAGAATGTCTTCGGGGCCACCTTTGGAGAGGCAGTTGGGAAAGACCACCGAGAGACGCCTCGCCGCGTATTGCCTTTCAGGCGGCGATGTCGCCTATTTTAGGGCAGAGTAAATAACAAGGGGGATGAATTAAGGAAATCAAAATAATTACAATAACATGGCTTAATAAACACTCAATAGGATATATGTATGAAGTGCAGTATGTTTGAGTTTGGTTTGCTAACAGCAGGGCATTTTGTCCTATCTGATGTTGGCTCAGATCAGATCCTCCACCCTGGACCGCATGTCCACTGGAAACTCTGGAAACCTAGCCCCGTTGCTTCAAAAACGCCTGGCGCAGCCGTGGGGGGCCAGGCACTCCTGGTGGGTGAAGCAGTGTGGAAACCTAGCCGGACAGGGCATTAGTGTGACGTCGAAGAAATGATCACACCCCATTCCTGCGATTTAGGCTATAGGTCTTTCAAAAGCTGGCGATACTCAAACAGGCTTGGTGGGAGTCCAAACCATTCCAAACCCCACTCCAAACGAGCGTTGGTGATGGTTGGGCCCACGGCGAACCGCAGATGCTTCAAACCCTTCTCATCAGGCCAGACACCGGCGTGCGCGGGGCTGCCAACCTGGTGATGATGTGGTCACGCGGCGGACGGCTCGGACTCGTGCGCCTGGCAGTGAGACGGCCACATGAGACTGCCACATGAGACACATGATCCTCTGACACCAGGACCTCCAATCACCGCAATATCACCACCCTATAATGAACCTGAGTGCTTAAAGGGAGAGGTTTGGAGTCTAGACGGGCCAAGAACACGAATTGCGAGGGCCTTGTTATTGTCGGCAGATGCTTTCTTGCATCGTTGTTTTCCGCTTCGTTCATGCAACCTGTGGCCTTTTTTTAATGCAGCTTGAAGCTGAGTTTCTGTGTAAAACTGGCAGGTTGATCCAGGGATGGTTACCCTGGTCTAGCTTCATCAGTGTTGCATTTTGTCATCATTTGTTGACAAACGCTGCTGGGTTGCCGAGACAGTACATTTGGCCAGCATCGGCCGTGTGCAGATAATTTTGACAATGGCTCCTTGAACACGACCTGGGGAAGCAAGTTGGGGCATGACGAGCCGTTGGCAAAGGCAGGTCCCAAACATGGGCAAGCATGACAGTCGAGGTTGTAGATGCTTTCTTGCTAGAGAAGATTTCCCACTCAAAGATAGTATCATTGGTTTTTCAAGTTTGCCATGTCTGTGGGAGTAGTAGAGTATGTATATATGGGAATTTGCCAATCCCGAAGCCCTTTGGCAAGGTGAACAAGCAACTAAAGTCTAATCGTGGGGTCTCCCTATTCTAATGCACACCCCATATCCATCCATATCCCCAGATCCATGTTGCATCAGTTTGCTTCAGCTTATGTGGTCTACAAGACAAAAAAGTTACCTTGCTGGGTCTGGAAGAGTTTCAGCGAGCTTTTTCCCTCCATTGCTTGAAGTGCTCAAGCTGTGCTTAAGCTGTGGGCCCAGTAAAAGCTTGATGGTAACAATGGATCATTATCATCATGGACATTATCAATGGATTATTATTGAAGGATGGACTTGTTAGAAGGATCTGTAAATGTATTGATAAAAAGATATGGATTCTATGGACACATATGGACACTCCAAGATCCTGATCATTCTTGGCAGCCCATGGCGCTGCCAAAGTCGGAGGTGCTAGGATGCTGCTTTTCCATCGGCGCCTTGGTCGTTGAAGATGACCGTTTTTCGTTTCCCAGCGACTATGCGTTCCGACGCGCCGTTTGGTCGGTTGGTCGCGGTCTTCGAAGGGAGGCGGACAATTCGTGAGAAGACATCACTAAAGCTGAAAAGGTTCGCATGAGTTCTCAGTCAGGAAGGATTATAGTATGTTGGAGCGGTTGTTGGGTGCTGCAAAGAAAGGCCACTGGTTGGTAAATGCAGAATGTTTGAGAACAGGAGGCTCGGCCAGCAATGTTGAACGCTTTTGCGAACCGAGGTTACGGATCGGGCATGAAACCATGCTGCCTCCAAACGCAGCGCATGGCCACTCTGGGCAGTTGCAAAGTGGGGCAGCGTTTAGGCCGCCACGCAGTCGCTGCCTATTCGATCCTGCTCGGATGCAGAGATTTGAATATATATTATGGGTCGGGCCATGCTGAAGACATAGAATCCAACAAAACATCTATGACCAACCTGAGATGTTTGTCCACGGCTCATGCGTTTGGAAGCCATTTTCGTCATGACCTTCTTCCGCGACGAACCCTTTGGCCGGTCGCCTCGGTAACCGGTGCCACAGGTGGGGCCACTGCCTTTAAGATGAACCGCTGCCCCCGTCATGCTTCAGAGGCAGAGACCAACTCACGTATCGACACCTCAAATTGTTCAAGCGTTTCTTTAAAGCTCACTTCCAATGCAGCCATGTGCTCGATTTTCGACAGCATGTTGTTGTTCATCCCTCTTCGCTCATGTTTCATCAAGCGACCCAAAGTCTGAAGGGCGATCGTCTAGAAAGACGTCCAAAAGACTCCAGATGGCATAATATGGCATAATTAGTTTCAGGTGTTTCTTTCTGCAAAACCCAAACATACGTATCCTGCTTGGGCGGGGCGAAGATGTTTCCTCCAAGCTGACCGCCTCGACCTGTGAGGCTGCGAAGCTCATCCAGAAGTATGGCCTGGTGATCGAGGACGACGTCCTCCTCGCAGGACCGGGGGGTCCGGGTGACCGGGCGGGTGACTGGACGCGAGCCCGAGCATATATTTGCATATAGAATAGTTATGTGCGAATATCTACACCCCATAGTTCTAGTATGTACGAATTCTGTAGCTATGCCCGGAGAAAAGTGTCTCACATGAATTGATCCACTGAGTAACTCGCACTGACTCGGTTCTGAGCTCGCGGAGTGGTCAGGAACTCAGCTCGCCGAACGCCCCCGGGGAATTTGGCGACTCGGTGGAACTTTTGCAACGTTTGGAGAGGCGGCAAAAAACTCGGTGGAAAGGGAGCTGATAGTACTCGTAGCTTCTTGCTACTAGCAGTAGCGTTGTTGCTCCTAGTAGCGATGCCAGGAGCCCCGAGTAGCGTCCTTGCTCCTAGTAGTAAGGCCAGGAGCCCCGAGTAGCGTCCTTGCTCCTAGTAGTAAGGCCAGGAGCCCCTAGTAGCTTCTTGCTCCCAGTAGTAAGGCCAGGAGCCCCTAGTAGCTTCTTGCTCCTAGTAGTAAGGCCACCTGCCCGTAGTAGCTTCTTGCTCCTAGGAGTAAGGCCAGGAGCCCCTAGTAGCTTCTTGCTCCTAGTAGCGAGGCCAGGAGGCCCTAGTACCGTCCTTGCTCCTAGTAGCTGTTTGGAGCTGATTTGATAATATTTCCCATTAAAATGACTGCATGCTACCGCGACATTCAGTGAAGCGAGCGGAGTGGAAGTGAAGAACGGATGATCACAAGAAGAACTGTGGACGTGGCGTGTGATCTGGTGGTATGTTTGGCATGATGCGGTTATCACGAAAGCTAGCCTTAGCTATTAGCAAGTTAAGTGACGGGGTGGACGCACCTCAGAAACCTCAAATAATTGATTAAATCAATCTTATGGACCCCCCCCCCCCCGCGGTTCGACTCCCCCCTGCGCGCGGTGAGCGGGACCACCAAGCAGCTGCAGCACACCAAGCATCTGCAGCGCCCAGCGCAGCAGCGGCAGCAGCAGCAGCACCAGCAGCAGCAGCAGACCACCCAGCGGCGGCAGCAGCAGCAGCAGCATACCCAACGCCGCGGCAGCAGCAGCCGCAGCAGACCACCCAGCGCCAGCAGCAGCAGCAGCAGCAGACGACCCGGCGCCTGCAGAGCACCCAGCGCAGCAGCGCCCAGCGCAGCAGCGGCAGCAGCAGCACCAGCAGCAGCAGCACCAGCAGCAGACCACCGGAAGCCCGGCTAGCTTTCGTTCACCCCCTCTGGCCTCAAGTTTCACACAGCACCATATATAGTTGAAATCATATTCATATATTGACAAAATTATCAAGTCAGGAATGTCCCTCAGCCATGATCTTAATCAGATGTTCAAATGGCACTAATTATGACTATCACAGAGTATCTTGTCGTTTCAAAGATACCCATGTCCCCCAAAGCAACAGCTAAATCTATACTGGTTTCTTTGGGGGGCGGTCCGCGCCTTTTGTTCTGCTTGCGCTTTTGAAAAGAATTTTTAATCCTTGGAGCCAAGGTTGCCCCTCAGTGGCGCTGCTGCTTCTTTGGTGGCATTGCTCGCCTGGATGAGGTACGCAACACCACACAGGGACCGGGAAGGATGCGGTCATTTGCTTTGTGGTTTTTCTCGAGGAACATGTGCACGGAAATGCAAACACCTGGATCATAATCATAATTAACAAATTCCGGAGCCTCTCAATCTTCTGGAAAAGGAAGAGCGCACACTTGGAGATTTAGGCAGATGGGTGGCAGCTGCATTTCATACTGTACTCCATTTGCACGAGTTTTCTTCGTTTGCAGGAGCCCGTGCCCCAGACGTAGAGCAATGCCTCTCAGCAGAATATTCGGTGCTTGCAAGAGGTGCATTCGGTTCTGGCCTTCCAGAGTCTTCTAATTCTAATCGACTTGGCCGGAGTTCGTTCTAGCGTGTGGCACCACACCAAATTAAGCAAGTTGTAGCTGGCAATGAGGGCCCATGAAGGTCTTTCTTCTGCCGCAGTTTTTTTGAAGGTTACCATTTACCATCACATCCTCAGTATTCTCCCGCCCTCAAACTCCAATGGCTCAAATCCTCCCACTAGAAACCCGAAGACTTAGATGCATTACTCAGACACTCCATGTATGGAATGTTTACCTACTTATTGGTTTCAGGGGTCAATGCAGGTTGTTTGGGTCATTGGGCCTTTTGACTTGGTTGTGACACCAAGGCAGGAGGATCCCTTGTTAAGCGCAGAGGCGGAGGGGTGGTTGTCGCACTTTGTGACAAGGCATGTTTAGAGTCTTCAAAGATGATCAAAGCCTTTTTTGAACAAAAAGGGCGACGTGATGTGATTCAATCGAGAAGCACCATGTTCACACACTTCTCCCTGGGAGATCATTAGAAGCATGGAGAGTTGGGAGATCATCAGCTGCTTCATTGTTCGTTGCATCCGTGACAGGCGCATTGAGCCGGGCAGCATCGACAACTACGATCTCCACACAGTCATCGGGCAACTCACTGCGACTGGCAGAAGAGCTCTCCTGTGCAAGAGCTATTTGTGCATCATGTTGTGTCCGGAATAGTATGATCCAGAGCACCTCGGCCTCAGACTGAAGAAAAATACATTAACACTTCGTTTGCGTCCTTCAAGTGATGCACAGGGCACAGGGGCCTTCCGTCACTGCGGTTACAGAGCTTCGCAGAGACTTGCCCGACGAAAATCGTGCGCACCAGCCCAGCCCAGGAAATGAATGGAAGTGATAAGTTTGAGGTCAGCCGTGTTTCTTTTGTTTCCTGATGTCTAGTTGGCAAGGCCAGGAAGAAACGGATCAGAAAGAAAGACCCCATCATTTAACTTCAACCCAGATTCTTCCAAAAAGCGGTCTTGTACTCGTGCTGTTTCCGGGTCGTTTCTGTTTTCCCTCCCATCCCTGGGCCAGACCACCTCTGTGTTCCACAACCATCGTGGTCATGGAATCCGTGCTGGCGCCGGAGCGCTCAGATTGGGAACCAACAGAAGCGTCCCCCCACTTGATATGGTATGGTTATGGTAGGCCAGCTCGCAAGATGGCCGAATGTAGCATCTTGCCACGCGAGTCTTCCTGTGAGCTTGGAATATTCTTGCCACGAGAGTCTTCCTGTGAGCTTGGAATGTTGAGTCAAATCTGAAGCATGGCTGGAGATGTTGCAACTTGCCACCTTCAGCATTCCCTCAGTCTTGTGCATAAAATGATATATTCTAAGTAATTTTGATTAAGGTAGTATCACATGCATAGAGGAACAAGAAGCTACGTTCGGGGCTCCTGGCCTTACTACTAGGAGCGATCGGATGCTACGAACGGGGCGACCCTGGCATCGCGAACCGAACGGAGCATTCCGGACATGTCGGGACGTTGGAGGCCGCCGTGCCCGGCTACTGCGGTTTCATCCCCAGCAAGGCGGTTTCATCGCCGGTTCGGTCACTGTGGTGCGGCAAGAAGCTACGAACGTAGCAGGGGACAAGGTGTCTTAGCTCAGTCAGCCACGTTGGATGGGATGTGCCGTCGTGACGTAGAATGTTTGGCAAACCGTGGTTGTACCATCGTGATAAATGATTTTTTCTTGACTGGGCTGGGATATGTTATAAATGTATACTCGACAGCATCTATGCTGATACCTCGTACTTTTGTGTGAGTGAGTGGGTGCTTATCCATCTTTACGTATCTTCACAACATATTTGGCCAGTGGCGGTTCCCGAACTCCAGGGATAGTTGTTTGATGTTGTTTGCTTCCAACAACCTTGGAGACCTTCCTGACCTGGGAAAAGAACAACTCATAGGTGGCCGGGAATTGCTTCGGCAAGCGCATGGCCCTCGACAACCTCCACGCCACAGAGATGCGGAAGATCAACGACGAGGCGTGCTGGCTCAGAGCCGCGAACGAGGGCGGAGTGCAGCGGTGGAGAGAAGGACAAGAACAACACCTATATGTTTGACTTGCTTTGTTTGTGTGTTATTCACAGGTGATTCACCGTGTCCGTCAGTGATGCAGTGAACCAACGGGTCATAGATTCATCATTGGCTCGTTGGTTCAGATGGCACTTTCTTGCTGCGAGCTGTTTCACCTCTCGCGTGCCATGCCTACTTTGGTTAGGATTGTGTTTATATAATTGCCTTTGCGTGTGCTTACCCCCAAAGCAAAGAGCCATAATTGCTCTGAAGGTATGCTTGTAGTATCTTGTCATTTAGTCTGTCCATTTTGGACATGGAACCGAAGGTCTGGCTCTGGTCTGGCTCGTACAATCCCTATACCTGCGGTATACCTACATGTGCAGGGTGCAGAGTGGCGCACCAACTGGATCGTGGCCAGCGAAACAAACAAGAAGAGGCCGGGGACGGACATGGAAAAATTGTCTCAGAAGGCTCCAAGAAGGACTTGCCGTGCTTGGAAGAAGGACAAGTAGGGCCAGGGCCAAGGTTTTTGAAGCCTGGACTCGGCCTTTGACAACGTGTCAATAAGAGAACTTCTTGAGACAAGCCTCGTTCACGTCCACGCGTTTTTTTTAAACTACACATGTAACAGGATCGAAATGTATGGAGACCAGACAAGAATGCAGAGCGTGTTGTGTTTTTGGTGTCTTTTTTCCGGTTATGTGGTGATGTTGAGGTTAGCGCACGGGGCCTTTGCCGCAGGGAGCCTCATGGAGGTGCAAAGCAGGAAGCTGTTGGGAGCTAGGACCTAGGATTTTATAATATGAGGCAGAAGGAGAAGGTCATTGAAGTCCATTGCCATCACAGCTAACCTATGCTAACCTCAGAGACGGCTCAAGAGCCTGCACCGTGCTGCGCCGAAGAAAGCTCTGGAAGTGTTCCGAGTCGTTGGTTAAGGCTCCCAGTGGAGCCATGACTCTTGGTGTTTTTCTCTTTCATGAAACAAACATGACCCAGACACATCCAGGATTTGCTATGGAACTGGAACTCTTCACATCTATTCACCGATGTTTCTTGGGGTGACACAGGGTGTTTCAACGGATTCATGGATGACTTTCAGGGCTCCATATTCTGAGGGCCATGGGTGACGTTTGAGGTCAAGGAGAACTTCCAGTTCACTCGGGAAGCTCCCACCCGAGAGGCCCCTCAGATGGGACGAATCACTCGAGGACGACCAAGGAAATACGACTCAAACAGAAGACCAAAAGGAATCAAAAAGGATTTGAAAGCATCTGAAAGGATGAAAGAGAAATGGGTTTAGTATTTCTGGACGTGTCCAGTTTATGTAGAGTTGGATATTCGACTTAGGCGGCGCATACCCTTCGCACCCCGGGAAGCATACACAAAAGCATACCTGCAGAAGCATACCCCATAGTCAAACATCCCGCCCCGTGAACGGCAGCAAGTATCAAACAGTTACACTCCCAAGATCTCCCAAATAAGGGAATGAAAGGGACTGTCTACTCCCTTCTGACATCTTCTGACATTTCGTTTCGAGTAGATAGACTATAATAGACTTACTGTAGTACTGACCTACTGGTGTTGGGAGCCAAAACCCACATCCACAGCACCTGGCAACACACTCCACGCAGTGCCACGCAGGCACCTGGCAGCACATGGAAACTTTACGAACCTCCGACAGCGCAGCAGTGGCATGGAGCCCAAGCTGGCTCGGGCGTGGAGCAGCGAGCAGGTCGATCAGCCAAGTAAGGACGTGGAGCTGTGGATGATGTGAACACCATGTTTGATGTGAAAGATCTTGGCCATATCGGCCAAGAATAGAATCTTGGAATATGTTGTTTGAAGATGTAATGTTGTTTGGCCAATGATCTTAGAGTACCAGCTGCTTCCGTTCGGGGTGACCTGGCTGGACAACACTACACTGCTTATAGGTCACCAGACAGGACACCCATACAGGAAGCGCTAGGTGTGCTTGAATACTCATTGGCAATTGTAATTGTCCCATTTTTCATTGCACCCGTAGTCTCACATGTGATGCAGACTTCTGCTCTTGTGCCTGGACAAACTCAACAAAGCTGTAGAAATAAGAGATATTCCATTGCATGGTCCCGAAATCGACCATATGTTTAGAAGCATGAAACAAGGTGTGATGTTTAGTAGGAAAACGACAAACACAAGCATACCCTCAAGCCGGCCCTTCCCACATGGCACATGCTTTCGGTTCCGATTTCATCCAAGCCTCACTTGAGGATCAGATACTGATTTGGCTGCTGATCAGCCTCAGGACTGGCAGTTCAAGTGTGAGCTCTGGGAGAACTGTACCCAAAGTGTGCGGGAGGGTTAGACTAGGACCACAGAAACACCCTATTGCAATTTGCAAACTGCCGGTCCGCTGAATGCTGTCTCACCGAAGGTGCAAGTTCAGACGGTGGCCTTTTACATACGGAGCCGCATTCCGGTTCCCAAACGGGATACCGCGGGCTGCGGTCTTTTTTTTGGAGCCACGTTTAACGTGCGTTTGGTCCGAAAAAGTGAAGGACTCAATGCCATTGAGTTATATGACAGCTGTTGGTAGACCTCGTCAAGCTGCGCTTTGCGAGCCCCGAGCCCCTCTACACCACACTTGCCCCTCATCCTTGCTCTAACAACGTGTGTTGCCCACACGAACAAACGAGATAGGGGAAGGTAGCCCAGCAACTAAGGTCGACACCGAGAGTTCCAACCAAGTGACAGTCCCACTGTCCCACTCGGAACGTGCACACTTGTATCTGAAAGACTGGAAGTCTGGAGGAGGGTGGTGTGAACATGTGTGAAATGTATGGTTGCCCAACAAATCTCGCCCGCGCTCCTGCGTAGCATAGGTTGGTACCACCCCTGGGACGCCCCAAAACCGCTCACCACTTTGGCATGGGGGGGTGAGCGCCCCCACTTCGAGTGTTCCTTATAGGCAGCACCCCGTCCCCGACCCTTGCCACTCTTCCCTCCGCGGCCCTTACCTGAAGCACCCTTGCCTGCTCCCCGTGCCGCCCTGCCACCTGCCGCACCTGCGTCACCCTCCGCTGCCTGCGCCCGGGTCCATGCCCTTTTGAGTGTTTCACCTCGTGTTTTAGTTCGCCAAGCCAATACCCCTGGGGGTTGATCAGCCACTCTGGCCCGATTAGCGGTGGTAAGGACATGATTAAGGACCCCACTAACAGGCTTTTCCACCCGGTTGCCGATGTTGCCGAACTCTCCAAGGCGAAACGTCAGAGTGAACTGCTTGGGCTTGCGCTGGCGTTGGTCCATGGGCCTGCCCCATGCGTATTCCGGATCAAGCCTTACCAAATTCCCAGCCGCAACCTCCTTCTCTAGTGCCCATAGGCCCATAGGGCACGAGCGGGATCTGGGCCTCTCGTCCTGCCTGCTCCACAGTCAGCGGCCATGCACCCCCGAGAGCCTCCACAATCTTCTCCAGACTGAGCCAGCCGTGCTCCGTTGGCCTCACCCCCCAAAGCCACCCAAGCCGCTTCTAAGGAGGTGGCATGGATCGAGAAGACCTTGCAGTGGTGGTAGAGTCGGTCGACCCGGTCGACCTGGTGCGTTTCACGCGAGTCCGGAGCCTATCCGGATTCTGCTCCAACTGGTCAACGCGGGCGTCCAGACTGTTTACCATAAAAGTCCAAGGTGAACGTTCGGGACAGCTAAGTTCGATCCACGGACGGCTTAGGAATTGTGACAGGAATGAGTAAACCAGGATGCAAGGGTGGATGGCTAAGACAGTAAAACCTGTGACAAAGGGAGACTAGAGCATTCCATATGAAAGGACGCAGCATGCCTTTTCTTGAGGACTTGCACACATAGCGGTCTTGAGATTGTGATAGCAGCGAGTCGATCCCAAACCACATTACGGCGACAGGCTGGAGGAAAGATCCTCTCCGAGTCCGTATAGGACTCCTTCTGGGAAATACTTAGGCACAGCCTCACGGTTTGTCCGTGGGCCGGTCTTCTGGCTAGGCCAGGCACCCGCATGACCATGTCCTTAAAGGGACTCCAACCTGCAGCCCGCCGGAGCATGTCTCCAGTGATATGGTGAGTCGCCATGGTATCCCAGCGCCAGCGAGAACACCGACGTCAACACCCCGCAATACACCGTTTGGAATGCGAAGAATCATCAAGGACTTCCCATGAACGCGTGCGAAGAGTAGTGAACCAAGCTGTAGGGACCAGGGACTACGTGAGACGGACACTCAAGGGCACATTTCAAGCGTTGTTCCAACCCAAACCTCCAAAAGACCAACCTCTTGGGCAGCTCGACCCAGTGTTCGAAAAAACCGCCGGACGATGGTCTTGCCCCGGTCTCTGAAACCCACCCACGAAGTGTTAACTCCGGACATCTGGCATGGGCACCACCATGCCAACCACCCTTTTCGGTTGCGATCAACCTGGGTTTTTCTATGTTTAAGAGCCCGTCGACCTTAAACTCCCACTCCAACCCCGGAACCTGCCCCCCTCGCATGAGCGACACGCGTGCGCCTGATGTTAAACAACACCGGAGAACTGGGAGGGCCCTTTCGAAGACCACGATCAGGGCAAATACCCGGACGAGACCCCGCCACAGCCCCTGACCTTTATTTTCTGTGTGGCTATGCAGCGCCTGAAGAGCCTTGATCATAGGACTGGGGCACCCCCTTCGTTGCAAGGCAGTCCACAAGGCAGCACGACAGACCCTGGGTATGTTTTCTCATATATCAAAGAAACGCAACACGACCTCGTCACTGGACACGCGATTGACCTCCTCCGCCACCCGACAAGACACCTGAAGAGCCTCATCTAACCATGGATCTGCCCACCGAGCAAGCCGTGTGGCGACGATCCTGGCCATCACCTTGGTCCCTACACTCAACAGCACAATGCCCCGCCACGTATAACCACCACTAGACCAACCCGCCATTCAGTCGCCCAGTCCTGTCAGAACGGACCGCCGCCTGCCAGGCCTGGACGAGCGCCACTAACGTGGTCAGAACCTTGGGACGGCCATATTTAAGAAAGTCCGCCACAAAGCCAT